AATGGAATAGAGTGAGAGCAAGAAACAGACCTGCACATCTGTGGGCACTTACTCTACACAAAGGAACCAAGAGTGTACACTAAAGAAAGACATGTCTTCGACAAATAATGTTGAGGAAACTAGATAGTCACATGCAAAAGAATGAAATCACCATTCCACACCTTAGACAAAAATTTACTCAAAAATGGGGGCCTCCCTGGTGGCACAGGGACTAAAGTCTCAGTGCTGTCAAGCTGTTGGCAGACACCATGGCCAGGGAGCTGACCCACATGACACAGCAGACCTCTCTTTTTCTCCTTGCTGCTTCCCTCAGCAATGTCTCTCAGTACATCTGCCTCTTCTGCTCCCCACTCTGTCTCTGGTGAATCTTCTCACCCCCAACACCTCTGGCCTACATCCCAGTTCTTGTATAGATAAATAAATAAATCTAAAAAAATAATAATAACTCAAAAATGGATAAATACATGGATGGATATAAAACCTGAAACCATAAACTACATTGAGGAAAACATACACAAAATAGCCTCTGTCATAGGCTTCAGTGATGTCTCAATGGCAAGAGAACCAAAAGAGAATATAAACAAATGGAACTACCTTAATCTAAAAGGCTTCTGCACAGCGAGAGAAAATAACGCTAAAACAAAAAGACACCCTGCTGAATACTTGTGGGGGAGAAAGTCTACACCTGTCCATTAATTTTTCTCACAATTACCACTTCCAACCTTTAGAGTTGGGTGCACTAGTAAACTATGCCTTTACTACCAGACAAGAAGTTTACATTTGGAAACATGTCCCCAGGGTGGCTGGAATCAAGGTTTTAAAATAATATGTGTAGAAATAGAAAGTTTCTATTAGGGCTTAAGAAACTCGTTGAAACCTGCAATGCAGGCTAATTTAAGGGTTTTTTAAATGTCAGAGCTTTGTTTAGAAAATCAAAGTATATAAACAAATGTTTAAAAAAGGACAAAATATTAAAATAAAGTTAAAGAGTAAATAGAAATTGAAATGAACAAAATAATGACAGGAAAAGAAAATGGCAAAGCCTAGTGACAGCCTGATTCATGCTAATCTGTAAACCTTGAATCCAGGTGTGTGATCTTAAACCTCTGAGTTTCAATTCACATACCAAAAGCTGTACATATTTAATGTATACAACTTGATTGATTTGAGGTTGATATCCAGGAAACTTTCACTGTCATCTGGTCCATATATTGGATGTGTAATTTTTGGGAAGCCTTTAAACATACATGAATTTATATCAATAAAATCCTAGAATTAATTTTCCCTTGATGTAGTCTGTGATCCCCGAATGAGAATTTTGAATATTCAGATCATCAGAAAGTCGCCCTGCGACGTTTTTTAACCAAGTCCTTCACAGAAACAGAATGTTTTGTTTTATTTTTAATTCACATTTTGTAGCTAATACTTGGTAGAATAAAAAGCTTTGAGAAACACAGAAATGTAAAAAGTAAATGTTTTCCTTTTTTCTTACCCTCGCCCTCCTGTCATGGAGAGCCAGTGTTGATAGAGAATTGAAGCATCCTGCTTAAATATCGGCATGGAAAATGAGGAAATAGCGTTCTACCTAGAGCCGGGTTGAGCAGCCACGAGCTCCCCTCCTCCCTTCTCACTACCGCCTCCACCTCACGGTGCGGGCTAGTTCCGAGGTCAGCAGCCCCCCTTCCGCCCTGACGGGCCAGCAGGACAGCGGGCGCCTGCCTGTGCACCCGCATCCACCCCACGAGGAGCGAGCAGGCTGTGGACCTTATTTTGAAAAGTGGCTCTTCTTTGCTATTTCTCCCTCTTTTTAGAGGAAAGAAGACTGCCCTGAGGTTAGGTCGTTGGGACTTACCCTCCACTCTGGTCCCCAGCCTCTGTCCTGAGAAGGGAAGGGCCCCTTGAGTGTGAGCTCCCCGCGCCAGGCATGGAGGGGGGGCAGAAGCAATAGACACAGCCCTAATTTATCTTGCTCCCCAATTCTGCATGTTCTTTTATTGTATTCTTTTCACTGTCCTCTTTTCAACCAACATCTGTGGCTATCAAGACTCTTCATCTGGGCACTGGAATCCCCCGAGGGGCAGCCAGGAAGGGGTACTCCTGCAGACGGGCGGGGCTGTGCGACTTTGGGGCGCGTGGTATTAGCCTGATTGTGAGGTCGAGATGAGCTCTTTGCTCAGTTTTCATTTTTTTTTAAATTTGTTTTTATTTATGTGTGCGTACAAAAACTGGGGTGTGGCCAAAGCTGCTGGGGGGGGGGCGGTGAGAGGGCTCACCAGGGACAGAGTGGGGAGCAGAGCAGGCAGATGGATGAAACCCACTGCCGAGGGGGGCAGCGGGGAGACAGGAGAGGTCTGCTGCGCCTGGGGGTCACTCCCTGGCCGGGGATTGCACTCGGGCTGCAGGGGCTGCAGACGGCTTGATAGCGCTGAGACTTACCCCCAGCGCCAGCAGGGAGGGCCAGTTTGAATGCTGGAGTGTCTGTAGTTCGGCTTCCTGACAGCCAGTTTGGTTTCAGAGCGCTGTTTGAGCTCCTGGGCTGCCTCCTCTGCCCTGGGCATCGCCGAGCTCAGCCAGCGCGCTCCCTGGGGCTGAAGCGGGCCTCAGGGCCGGTCGCTGGCCGAAGGGCGCGGGAGGCTCCGTTCTGTGCAACAGGTTGCCCACAGGCTTCCCAGGGACCGGCCCGTGCAGGATTTCTCGGAGTTTTAGAAAACACTTGATCACACATTCGAGAAAGCGGAGCTGGACTGGCGGCTGCCAGTGGTGGGTCCCAGCCTCCCACACGAGGCCCAAGTCCCTCCTTGTTCCCGATACTCATCCGGCTTTCTGGAAGCCCGACATTCGAGGGTGACAATATCAGTGGCACCCGGGGCGGGGGAAGGCTGCCCGGACTGAGTGCCCGGAGGAGTTCCGTCCGGGCCAGTCGGCTCCAGAACGGCCTGTGGGGCCTGCGGGTGAGCCTGCTTTGCGGGAAGATATTGAGGCGCAGAGCGGGAGCCTCCCGGGCTCACCTCA